AAAGGCTAACATTTCAAGTGCCCCAAGTTTTGAGTATTTTGCAGAAAAAAAAAAAATTCTGTTTTTTGGTTTTATTGCATGGTATAAGTTACTGCTGTATAACTTTGTGCTGTATCTTCTTTGCATCTTCCCAAGTGTATAGTAGGGGGGCCGGGGAGCTGGCTCAGTGGAATATGCACTTCCCTGGCAAGCGCAAGGGCCTGAGTTCAATCCTCAGTTCCACAGAAAAAAAAAAAAGAAAGAAAGAAAAAGAAACAAGTATCCAAGTGTACACTAGGTTTTCTTGCTATATAGAAAACCCACCAAAAAACAAATACACACTTCAGCAGTTTGCCATACTCATAAACGTCTGCAAACTAATGGCCACCACTTGGAGCACCTCTTATAACTGTAGAGGTCAAATGTAACTTGTATTAATCTCCTGATGTCCCAATAAATTTAGTTTTAAAATGTTTATACAAGTTTTTCTTTTTGTGATGTGTACATTTTTGGGGCAGACTCTATATACACACATACTTTTTCAAATATTGTGTGCCTTATCACAGAATACTTAAGGTGTAAAAACAGTAGAAACATACTTAACCTTATATACAGATATATGTATGACATAAAGCTGTTAAAATAATTTTGTGTAAGAGATTGTCACTTATATCCTTATATCTAGTTTTCATCAATTGCTGGTTTCATTTTCAATCTTAAAAGCCCCAATTTTTTTTTTCTTTTGCATCAGAAATTGAACCTGGGACCTCACGGTTTCCAGCCAAATGTGCCACTGAGCAATATCCCCAGCCCCAGAAATTTGTATTTGAACAATAAAATACTCACTTTTGCTTCTAAATACCAATTTTATTTTGATATATATTACTTTCAGTTAATCATAGACAAAACCGTTCTCTGTCCAATGGTACTTAGGCTACTTGTTATGGTTTCTTCATGCATTTAAAACTGTACCTTTTGTGATTTTACAACGCCACCTCTACCATGAACAGAAAATTGATGTGCCTTTTTTGCTTGGTAGCACTTTAACAAAGTAAAACAGTAAACAGTTACCAGAAATTGGTAACTCTTGCATTACTTCATTACCATTGAATTGGTTGTGCACCAACTCAATGGCTGCAATCTTCATGTAGCCGAACTCCTTGAAAACTGCCTTCTACTGCTGTGGCATCCCTGTTTACTCTGGGAAGATTAGCACCAGGACCTGCTGGGTTGCCTTCTCATGTGGATATTTTATCACTCTTCAAGTTGGATAAAATTGAACTTTATTATAGTTTACTGGATAAAGTTATATTGTAGAAAGCTAACAATACCTTTACAGGAAAACAGGAGATGGAAAATATACAAGTAAAATGTACTTAACCAAAATAAAACAAAACCCAAATAAACTCCAATTTAGAGAAAAAGAGAAGCCAGAAGCATGAGACGTAAGCATACATGCAAACACTGGTGCACTACAAGTGAGGGCTGTCTCTAATACTATACTAAGATTAATTTCATGAGTTCAGTATTTAAAATGTGGTCTTTGAGGCTGGACATAGTTGACACATGCCTATAACCCCAGATGCTCAGGAACATGGAGGAGGATCACAAGTCAAGGCCAACTTAGGCGATATAGAACCTGTCTCTAAACAAAACAAAGCAATCTAGATAGTTTTCAAATATTTAAGCTATACATAAATAGATATTTAAATATTTAAACCAGGTGTGGTAGTACATGTTTATAGACCAAGCACTTGGGAAGCTGAGGAGGAAGACTGCTGTGGGTTTGAGGCCAGCTTAAGCTATGTAGTGAGTTCAAGGACAGGCTCAGGGCCGGGGAGGTGACTCGGTGGTATAAACGCTTCCGTAGGTGTCTGAGTTCAATCCCCGATTCCGCCAAAAAAAAAAAAAAAAAGAAAGAAAAAAGAAACAAAAATCAAGGAGAGCCTGGACTACATAGCCTAGACACCCTGTCTCCAAAAAGAAAACCATACCAAAACAAAATAAACCAGAACTATATAACTGCCTAGGATCTAGTCCTGAACAGTCTTGCACAACTGGTACATGAGATAAAAGAATCGAGTCCCTGCTTCTGTCCTGTTGATGATAGGCAGAGACAGTTTTAAGAAATACATCATTCCGTGATGCCTTAAGGCCAAAACAGAATGCACTTATAAAAACTAAGATGTAATGGTGCATCTCAAATAGGGCAGGCAAGAAGCTAAGCCAGAGAAAGCACCAACTCCCTCTTCTATTTTCCTCTATGGACGTGTACATGTGGTGAGGCGGTCACCACACAGGCCATCTCTCGGCTCTGGGAGCTCCAAAGAGGCGCCTGCAGGCTTAGGGATGGGGTGGGTGTACCAAACAGGAGGGTAAGTGTCTTCAAGCGCTCACGCCCAGCAGGTCTGGGCAGGGGCACTCCGCAAGGCCTCTGTTCAAGTCCCTTACTCACAGGTCTCTGGCCGCACATAGTTCAGAAAATACAACCCAGAAAGTCCAAGTACCTGGTTCTGGAACCTTTTCTACTGTTTGCCTTTATAGTTCCATTATTGGACAAAATTACAGATCAAGGTTAAATCTTTTTCTTTGGTGGGTTCCGACTTCAGTACACTGAACTTCAATGAAATCAAGTGAACAGAGTAAGAAAAAAGCCTGGTATGCCAGAAGGTCAAATACTCTACTGATTTTGTAGAAGAATACAAAGTAGGCTAATTCAAGGGCTCACAGGTGTATATACTCAAATTAAAATACCCATGTCTGTGGCTATCACTAACTTAGAAACAACCAGGCAATTGGCAGGCTTATTTCATAGCAATTGGCAGACTTTAATATCCAAGAAAAATTAAGTCCATCATACACATTAAAAATATAGGAAATTTCATGCAGATGTGAAGCTTCCAATTCAGCCTTTATGGCAGCTTTTAGAATTAGATATACAGTACTTCATACTTTTAAACTGTGATTTATACAGTTTCATATATATCACCTTGCTCATTTGACTAACATACCCTACATCTGCACCACTTTAGAAAAAGCTTTTTAAAATGAGAGCACAATGACCACTTAAGGAAAAGGAAAACTTTTTTTTTTTTTTCTTTTTTGTGATACTGGGGATCAAACTCAAGACTGCGCCGGCCAGGCTGGCGCTTAGACCGCTAAGCTATCTCCCCAGCCCCAACATTTTTGTGTAGAGCTAGTTTAAGGAACAAAGTGTCAATGCTTACACACTTCAGTAGCTAGGACTAAACTTAAGTACAAAATTAAATCTCTCAGTGACATTTCTATTATTGGTTGATAATACATTTTTGAGTTGAGATAGAAACAAACAGCTGCAAGAACAAGTGGTGCAAATTTGTAGAGAACATTTAAAAAATAGTATTAATAATGGAGGTTAAAAAATGAAATAACTGGTTTTAGAGTTAACTAAAATAGATGCTATAATTTAAGTAACATCATTGGGTAATTTTACATAATAAAACCAACCTACCAGTGTCAGTCTGTTTTTGCTTTTATAAGAAAAACAAAGATCATTTGTTTTGACACAAGTTGTAAAAAAGTAAACACTAGCCAGTGAATACAAAGCATTTCTAAAGTACCCAAACATAGCATGCATTTCTTGCCATTTAATGAGCTTTTAAAAAAATATTTATGCTCCTTTACCTTTTTAAAAGTAATGTTAGGGTTTCTTTGGGTTTTTTGCCACTTTGTAATTTATTTCAAGTTCACTCATACAAGTAATGAGTATTCTGATCAAATGAACATTTGCCAAGCATTGGGGGGTCACAAAACAAGAAACACTTAAAACTCAGGGGACTTCCTTATCATGACAATGTAATGAACTCCTTGAACCCTCTATTGCATAGCGGTGGCAAAGACCACAAAAACCTCCTCAGTGTATGCTCAATCTACAAAGCTAAATTCCCTGGGAGTGACATCCATAACCGAATTCACAACCCAAGTCTGAAGATTTACAGGTTTTCCTGTTGAATCATGGCATTCATGCTGTCAGCGCGTTCAGTCCATGTATCTGAATCACAAGAGAGTTCACATAAAGCAATCACAATCTGTGAAAGTATAGTCTTTTCTCCAAGAAAAGGTTAAAAACATTAGTCATCTCTGCTTCCCAATCTACTGGAAACAGAATAACAAATACTAAAAGAAAACAAAGAAAAAAGAGGAGAATCCCCTCCAATAAAAATCTGCCAGAGGTAGAAATCCAAAGCAGCTTGCATACTGTTTTAAGTTTCATTTCTCAGTGAACAAAATTGTTATTGGCCTGAAATTGCATGGACGGCTGCTGCTTTAAGGTACTGAAGACACGGACCATGGCAGTCATTTACTTCTGAATTTCTTATTTAAAATTTGCTACATTAATACTATTGTGAATTTTTATTAGTACATTATTGTTTTAACTGAAAAGTGCTTGATTTCATAGTCCACATAATCCAATAATGTCTTTACATTATTGTAAACACATCACACTAACAAGCTCAGTGTTCATTCTAGTTTGAAACCATGGATTTCAAGTGGGGAGATTTTATTCCTGTTTTTCCAGTTTCCTGGAGCTTTTTTTCCAAAGGCATTGGTTGCCTATTTAGAATGCTGAGACCTGATACTTCCAAGTGATCTGCAATGAGTGTCAGTGTTCAGTTTAGCATGGCCAAAGGACTTGTTCTCAGTTGCCTAATGGCAGTTTAACTGACCCATGATAGTTAAATTTAACACGTCATTGAAAATAAAATTTGGATGCCTCTCTAAATGCAGTTGAGCTAGAAAAAAATAAAATCAACTAGTTTGAATGATAAAAGAATATACATTTAGGTATAACTACTCAGGTCCAAAATCAATAGAAGTTTCAATTCCAGATGTTGAATGTGATGGGAAAAGAGCCTTACTACAGATTAACATGTGCAGTGCGTATAAAACGAAAAAGGAAATCATGAAATTCAATGCTGTCAGTCATGAATATGGCAGACTTGCGAGAAAAACATTTATGAAGACACTGGAGGTCTTTTTCCTACTGAAAGGTAATTCTGGGCTTCAGTGAATTTGAAGATATTTTTTCCATTTTTACTTCTACAAATCTGCATGGCATATTATATCTGAAAAAAGCAATAGAAGTTACTAAGAAAATAGACACTATTTCTAAACTTTGTTTAGGAATAAGAAGGCACCACTGAATTGAGGTTGTGTCCTGTCATCACTGAGAGTTGATTCTGAGTTGTTTATTTCAGTATTTCATCTTATTAAGCTTTTTTTTCCAGGTGATATCACTTAAAATCACTGTGGCTTACGGACCACAAACAAGACACATTCATAGTAGTATTTCATCATAGAGAGGTCATTCACAGTATAGGTTGATAATACAGATTCTTTTTCCACCTGCAATATAAACGATAATGACACTGGTGATGATGATACCCCAATAGTGAACTAATAAATGGTAGGCACTATCTTAAGCATATCCACTTATTACCACCACCCCATAAGACCAGTACTACTAGTAATTCCACTTTACAAAAAACAGGTTATAGAAGTTACTCAAGGTCATACTACTAATATGTGGTGGAACTGAGATTCAAACTCAGGTAGTCTAACTTATAGCATGAGCTCTATTGTGATACCTTGCTTTTTTTTGTACCAGAAATCAAATGCAGGACCTTACACTTGTCAGGCAGGCATTGTGCTACTGAGCTATTTCCCTAGCTGGCTTCTCTGTAGTCTTAAAAACAAGTCTGTTGTCTATTTTTTAAAAGAATGATATGCTTCTAAACAAATGAACTGAAACACAACAGCCAAAGTGTCCTAACACCTTGTTTAACACAGATGATAAAGACCAAGCAATACAATACCAAATAAGAGAACAACAGTCTTCTTTTCCCTGCCCCCCAATGCATTTTTCTTTGTTCAGAGTGAAGTCAGTGAATTTACCCAGGCCATTATAATGATTAGTAATAAGTACTGAAAGCCTTTTTCAGTAGGGATTAGTTTTTTCTTTACATACACATGATTCCAAACTTTGGTAATTCTGAAAGCTGTATTTATCTTCATTTTATGGATGATAAGATAGGGAATAAATAAGACCAGTAACAACTATAACATGTAATTTCCTAGTGGAAGTTGAACTTCGACAGTATTTTATCCATCCTTACCTCTACCTGGAATCCATACTGCAGAACAACATTTTTTATATCCTCATAGCTCAATTCTATGGATAGTTCATTTGCCAAATTTTCAAAGTGGTACAGCAGAGGACCTATGATTTAAAGATACAAGTGAATCACCTGCATGTAAGCATGCATCAGTAACTATGTCAGCTTGAATTTCAAGTTAAATAGACCAAGCCATAGATAAGAAAATCAGAAAAAGAACCATCACAGGGTTCTGAGGACAATTATCCAACACCTGGAACTCTGGCCCAGTAACTAACCTGGGGGCCCTGTTTCCACGGGGAGCGAGTCCCACATCATGGGCCTTCACCTGTCTCTCTTCAGTTACTGAAGTAGTAGCTGAATCAGAGAATGGCAAGTGCCCAAATCCCAAAGGAATGCAGTGAGTACACAGTGGTACTTAGGCTCATGGACATTTAATTCTTTCCACAATTCTGGCCATAAACTGAACTGGATGAGGGCGGGATACAATTTCTCCACAAGGTCAACTACTGAATTTGATTTGGTTCTCATTCAATTCAGCTTGTGAGCAGCATTGTAGCAAGAATTAAGTTCATCAACAAAAGTACCACTGTAGTTCTTTAAGTAAATGTGAAATTACAGTCATTACAAATGAGTTTTATTAAACAGAGGATTCCGGCTGGACTGAACAAGAGTGTGGATGCATCAAGAAGTTATGAGGAGACTCCCTGGATGGAGGTGACATGACAGCTCATTTTTTAAGTGTATCATTCATACACCAACTCTGACATCTATTAACTCTACTTCATTTGTAGCATGACTTTAATGTGACATAATATGCAATACACCTATCATAAGTAAGGCACTGATAACAGTTACTTACTCTTCTCTCATCCCATACATTGAAGGCATTAAGATCTCATTCAAACCAGCATTTTCCATTATTTCATTCACTCATATTTTGCTCAATCCATCAGCTTCATTTAAGGGGACATTGCCAATTAACATGGTTCCATCTCAGACTAACCAACCTTGATAGTCTCTTTACCTTTCATCAGGTTAATTATAAAACCTATATCCAGCTCTCTACAGAGCCCCATTCTTCACACAATATGCTAATCAACAGAGATTAAGGGCAGCAATTTGTGTGTGTGTGTGTGTGTTTCTTTTTTGGAGACAGGGTCTCACTATGCATTCAGGCTGGCCTCAATTTTGTACCATTCTCCTGCCCCAGCCTCCCCTACTCGGGAGGGAGGTATATGCAATATACCTATCATAAGTAACTGTTAACAGTGCCTTACTTATGATAGATATATTGCATATACCTATCATACCTGTAAACTAGGACTACAGGTGGGTCACTGCAGCTGGTTTGGTATGTATTTGCAATACCAGCTATTTAGGAGGCTGAGGCAGATGGACTGTAAATTTGGGTGTTTTTTTTTTTTTTTTTTTTTTTTTTGGTCACAATTTTATTTTCAATAAGCATTTCAAACAGCACATGGGATTAGTCTCCAGACAACTGGTCTACAGTGGTTTCTCAGTACATGTTACATAGCAACAGAGGATAGCAAGAGTCAGCTTTGCAAATAGCTTATATTAATTTCAACTTCATTTTTCTTGAAATATTCTGTGATTGTCTTAAGATAATAAAAGAACATTTTTTAAAAGGCTTAGTTTCATTTTTTCCTATGGGAAAATATGGCTTGAATTTATAACATTCTGATCATATGGCCCATACACTTTTATATTCCCTTTTTTCTTTCAATAACATTATATTCATACTTTTATGTTATCTTTTTCCAAAATCATTATTTTTAATATAAGTATAATAGTCCCAATTTATAACTAAACGGTACTTTATTTTGAACAATGATTTAATTAATTTGCACACTGTTGTATAAATTTCAATTTGTTTGGGGTCATAATTAGTTCCTTGGGCTAGGCTTGAGTCAAGAAATCACTGAAGGTAAGTCTTTGATCACACATTTCATTTTCTAGAAAAGTTATACCAATTAACATTGTTATTAGTTCTGTCTATAGAAATACTGTATCACTGCTGACATTAAATGCGGTGAGATTTTTAAAAAATCTCAATTAGTTATGCTAATAAAAACAAAACTATTGGACTGTAAATTTGAAGCCAGCCTGGGCAACTTAGTAAGATCCTGTCTCAAGAAATGTGGAGAATGTAGCCCTATGGTAGTGCTTAGCAAGAATGAGGCCTTGGATTTGATCCCCAGTACCACCAAAACAACAAAAAACCTAGTAAAAATGGGAGTTTCTGCTCTCAACTGGCTCACCATCCTGTGGGCCACATTTAAGGTAAAAGTTTTCTTTGCCTCTCCTTTTTGTAATCGTACATAAACCAGCCAAGAAAGACAGTGAATACAATGTGCATGTTGGCAAGGTAGTGCTTCCCTATCAGAACACTGTAGCAAGCCTAAGTTCCTGTTAGTTGTATCAGCACTAGTAAGATTGAACAGCGCTGCATCTGTGGTGCCCTACATAACAACAAAGCCTTTTATAAGAATGCAGACTTGCAGCTGAGTCCCTCCAGCTGTCAAGCTTATGCTGTCCATCCATTATTTCACAGCCTCTGATAAAATGGTTTTATACACATATCCACACCAGTGATTCCCACACACACAGGCCTCATTTTATCTCTACTGAGGTTGGTTCCATCTAGAAGGCTCCACCCCTCCAACTTGATTGAGCCAGGGTTTAACCCTTGCTGAAATCCATCCATGTCTTCAGCCACTAGCTCACTCAATGCTGTATTGCATTCTCACTGGTTATTTTTATGTAATCAGCAGCATTTTCTAACTAGATCACAAGCCAGGTGTCAAGGGACATGTCTGACTTTCTTTTGATTCCACTAAAATGCCTGCATAACCATTCAAAAAAGTTATATATATATTAGTTTTTATTACAAATGGCACTTAAACAAATAACTCTACATATCTTAGATTTTCCTTTACAAAGTTTTTTTTTTTTTTTTTTTTTTTTTTTTCAAACTTGGGACAGAACACTTAGGGCCTCCACACTGAACTACATCCTCAGCCCTGATTTCGCCTGTCTTTTTGAGACAGGGTCTCAGTAAACTGCTGAGCTCCCAGACTGGGCTCAAACGCATGAACCTCCTGCCTAGACTCCCAGAATGCGGCATTACAGCTGTGAGCTCACCAAGAGCAGCTAAAAGCTATGTCTCAGCCTGAAGAGATTACTGCCTCCAGTCAAGCTGCCAATGCACTTCCTCAGTTATAGGCTGGCAGTCCCTCATCCGAAATGCTTAGAATTGCTTTTGAATTTTGGAATATTATATACAGAAGTGAGCTGTCTTGAGGGAATCCAAGCCTAAACATTATCAATCTTCCAAGTCTAAATGATTCATTTCTGTTTTATGTACACGTTATACACATATGCTAGAGGGTTTTCCCCCCTCTTCCTTCGTTTTTGGTGCTGGTAATTGGGACAGAGGGCCTAGGACATGATAGGCAAGCACTCTACCTGAGACACACCCCAGCCTTTCAAAGTAATTTTATGTATTTTGGGGAGCCTGCATTTCAATGGTAATCCATTGCAAGAGGTCAGGTGTGAAGTTTTCCATATGTAAGCCGCATCACATTGGGGCTCTACGAGTTCTATTTCGGAGCATTTCACATTTGCTAGTTAAGGAGCTCTACCTACTTTAAATCTTCACTCACAACAGCAGTGAGCTCTTGTTTTAGCAGAGCACCAAGTGGTGACAGGTAAAGGCACAATTACTCTGGGAAGTGGCTAGCAATGCCTCATCAAGTCAGACAAACACTTGTATGTGACCTGGCAATCTGAATACTAGCTATAATCCCAAGAGAAATGAAAATCTTTAGCCACATAAAGATTGGTACCCTACTGTTTACAGTCACTTTATTCACAATCACAATAAATCTGGCCCAATCCAATGCATGGATAAATGAAAGTGTTCTCAAAAAATGAGAACCCACTGGCTCATGTAACATGGATGAATCTGAAAAGCATCATGCGAAGTAAAGAAACCAGAGATAAGCTTATAGAACTACATGGTTTTGTATATAGGATGTTCTGGAGAAGGCAAACCAAAAGTGTCTGCTGGGTATGAGATACAAGAAGACAGAACTGATGACAGTAGGACAAGAGGACTTTTAGGGGTGATGACGATGAAATGTCCTCATCTTGATAACGGCATGGTTATATGATTGTTCAGTTTTCAAAATAAATCAAACTAGAGTCATCCTTCAGCTCAAGTAGCCAATGAAAAAGCATCTGGAGTGTGGATAGCCATCAGGGCCCAGAAGCAGAAACTCTTGTCATAGGACCCACAAGGTAGGAGCCCTGACTCCCATGGTAGGAGGCCTTGGGACAGACTGGGTTCCTGACAGCAGCCTCATCGCACACAAGATGCACAATAGCCCTCACCAGCCTGTGAGGTCTGCAAGATCTCAAAGTTCCCATGTGGAGAGGGGCCTTGGTGCCAAGAATTTTATTATGGTAACAACAGCTCCAAAAAAATCTGACTTTAAAAACAATTTTCTATTAAACAGAATATTTCTCATTTAATACAAGGAAAATAGGTCATCCATTAATACTAATTTCTTTGAGCAGATTTTCTATTCCTTACCTACTTGCCCATTATTTAAAAGAACATTTACCAGCACCTAGCAAGCATCGGGCTAGATATATGCAGATGACAGACACCTTCTCCTGGAGCTCTTGACTCTCTTAACATTCACACCTCTTGATATTCTTTGAGTAGTTACAACAGAAAGAGCAAAATGATGTAGTTTTCCTCAAACATAAACATAATGTAAGCTGGTAATAGAAAGTTGAACATAAAACATAAATGTAAAATTAAAATTGTACCTAATCCATTAATTGGTAATCAATTCAAAATTTAATGTATTTCTCTGCAGTCTTTTCTTGATGTGTACAAGATTATTTACATACATTGCTTTGTAACCTACACTTCATCAGGAAATTTTCCTATTTTGTTATTTCTACAGAATAATTTTACTATGTAGATGTCTTATGACAATTTATCCATGCCATTGCTCTTAGAAATGTACATTCAAAGTTTCCGCTGGATATTAGTTTTTGGTTTTGGTAT